CAGCAGTAGAGTGCTCGCCTAGCATTGGGTTAGATCCTCAGCACCAGATAAAATAAATAAATAAAATAAAAATATTGTGTCCAAGTACAACTAAAAAAAAAAAAAAGATAACAAACTTCAACCAAACCACAAACCATATGATTAATTACATTAAATATAAATGAGTTAGTCATGGCAATTTTAAAAATTAGATTTAAATTAAATTAGATTTAAATTTAAACTGAATTTTAAAAAATCAAAATCAACTACATGCTATCCACAAGAAACACACTTTAAAAATGTAGATAAAGTCACATTGAAAGTAAAAAGGAGGGTAAAAAAAGATATACCTTGCAAACAGAACACATAAAAAAATCTGAAGTGGTGGGGCTAGGGATATAGCTCAGTTGGTAGAATGTTTGTCTCGCATGCACAAGGCCCTGGGTTCGATCCCCAGCACCACAAAAAAAAAAAAAAAAAAAAAAAAATCTGAAGTGTCAATGCTAGGGCTCAGACCTAGTGGACTTCAGGACAAAGAATGTTACCAAACCTAAAGTTCACTTCATGATTCTATAATGGTTAATTTGTCAGGAAGTCATATAACAATCATGAATGCACCAAACAGTGGAACTTCAAAATACACGAAGCAAAATTTGACTGATCTGAAGAGGAAAACACAAAAATCCACAATTAGAGTTCATGGTAGAACAAATAAACAAAAAAATTTAATATAGAAAACTTGACCAACACTATCAACCAATTCAACCCAACTGACATCCATAGGACACTTCACACAGACACCACATTCTTTCCAAATGTGCATAAAATATAACAACTACTATATACCATACGGGAGGACACAAGTCTCAGTAAATTTCAAAGGACTAAAAGTATCTTATCTGATCACAATGGAATTAAATGAGAAATCAGCAACAAGATATACAGAAAGCCCCCCCCCCAATATTTGGAAATTAAACACACTTGTAAATAACCTAGGAATCAAAGAAGAAATCACAAGGAAAATTATAAAATATTTTGAATACAATAAAATTAAAACATGACAAAATGTGTGGGATGTAGCTAAAGTCGGGCTTAGAGGAAATTTTTGGCTTTAAATGTTTATATTACACACACAAAAAAAAAAAACTACCACGGATTAGGAGCTTGCTGGGTGGATAAGAACATACAAACTGAAACCAACCTTCCTGGGTTCAAACCTTATTTCTACCACATCCTAGCTGTGTGATCTTGAGCGAATAGTTCAACCTCTCTATGCCTCAGTTTCTTCTTATTTAAAATGGAGGAAATAATAGTATCTACTATACAGGAGGAATATAAGAATTGAATTAATTCATATCTCTTGATATGAATTCATTATTGCCATTCCTAAATCTCAGAAGATCTGAAGCTACTGAGGCTCTTGCCTCACTGTAGTATAGGACAAGTCAGAAACCTGGAAGGTCACTAATGTCATTTCTCAATCTTTTAAAGGAGATGCCTTGAGACTAGGATTACCAGATTTAGCAAATAGAAATACAGGGTGCTCAGTGGAATTTGAATTTCAGATAAGTCAAAGAAAAAAAAATGCTGTGCTATAAGTAGGTCCCAGGCATTTTTGCTTGAAAAGATTACATTGAGCAAAAGAAGCTAAGCACAAAAGAACACATGCTATAGAATTCCATTTCTATAAAATTCTAGAACACAGCAAACTAATCGGTGATGACGGAAGTCAGAACAGTGGTTGCTTGAGGCGGGCAGGAGCTGACTGTAAAGAGAAGCAGGGAGCTAACTTCTGGGGTGAGGGAAATGTTCTGTAGCTTGTCTTGGATGCTGATTCTATCAGTGTGGGCAATTGTCAAATCTCATTGAACCAAATGCTTAAGATCCACAGCACTTTATTAAATGTAAATTATGCCATTCATGGGGAAAAGACCAGGTCACATGGCTCACTCTGAACCATTCAATGACAAGAAAGTAGGTCATGCTGATTGGTTTATGCCTGAGCCACATGCCCTTCACAAGTCACAAGCAGGCACAAGAGTCAGCTTCCACCAAAGCAAAGGCACTTGCCAGAAAGGGGAGAATGGAGATGTGTGGCAAGTATGTTTGGCTGCTATAACAAAGAGGCCCCCAGGCTGGGGTTGTGGCTTAGTGGTAGAGAACTTGCCTAGCATGTGTGAGACACCAGGTTCAATCCTCAGCACCACATATAAATAAATGAATAAAATAAAGGTCCATCAGCATCTAAAAAAAATATTTTTTTAAAAAAGAGGCCCCAAATAACAAAGAAACCCCAAATCACAGCAGTTTAAACAACACAGGCATTTGTTTCTCTTTCAAATAAATGTTTGCTCCTAGAGATGGAAGGGTAAGCTCCGCTCCAAGAAAGCATCAAGGACCTAGGTGCCATGTCTTTCAAGTCATGGCCAAGAAAGCTATGGGGGGAGACGAGTCCCTCTCTACTGTAGTTTAGATTTTAACTAGCCCCCCAAAACCCATGTGGTTAGTTCCCAGGGTGATACAATTGGGACCTTGTGGAAACTTAATGGGCAGTGCCTCTTTAGATCACTGAGACTGCCTTTATGAAGAGGACTGTGGAACCCTGGCCGCCTCCTTCCTTTTCCTCCCTGCCCATAGGTGAGTAGTTTGGCTTTGCCAGGCACTCACACTGTGGGTGACAGGCCAGAGTAACACAACCAACCCATCATGAACAGGAATCTCCAAAACTTTGAGCCCAATTAAACCTTTTCTTTTTATAAATTATCCTAAGTATTCCATTACAGTGCCAAAGAGCTGACATACTCGCTTTAAGCACATAACCCAGCAGTTGCATGAATCATTTCCACTCACATCCTTTTAGCCAACATGCTGACAGGTAACCACCCCTACTGCAGGGAAGGTTGGGAAATGCAGTTTTTATTCTGGGTAGCAATGTGCCCGACTAAAATTCTCTTTTCTGGAAGACGGTAAGAGTGGATAATAAGAGGATAATATAATCTCTGCCACGGAAGCCAAAAGTAAGTCTTCTAAAGATAGAGAGTTCAATGCAGGGTTTGAGTGTGGGATGTGCTGTCAAAATGCTTGGGTTCAAATCCTGACTCTGCCTCCTACTGTGCAGCCATGGGCAAGGTACTTCTCTGCTCTGTGCTTGATCAAGCCCTCTCTTCTCTCTGGACTCGCCTCATTCCCATGGCAATAACAGTTTCATCAGGTGGGAAATGGAGGTAGCAAACCCACGGGGAGCTCATCAGAATTGAGCTAATAATGCGTGCAGAGTGCTTGGACCGGTGCCTGGCCCAGAGTGAGTGCTCAAAAGTATTAGCAGCATTGTTTTGCTTTTCAATTCACAGGCCTAAGTCCCACAGAAGTGAAGGTCGGCTTGGTGGAAACTGAGAATGAAACAGAGAAGGGAGAGAGCGCAAGCCTGCCCACCTTCTGCATGTTGGCTGGATACCTGTCAATCTCTGTTCCAGGACCCTCACTGCTGACCAAGCCAGAGCCTAGAACAGCTCATATCTATCAGGAATCCTTCAGTTGCAAGCGACAGAAATTCAACTCAAACTAGCCTGGGATAAAAAAAAAAAAAAAGAAAATTTTAATAGCACATGTAATAAAAATGCTTGCATTGATGGCGAACAGCTGGCCTCAAGAGTACTGGAGCCAATGAAGCGAATGTCAGCAAGGCTCACTCCACCTCTTCACCTCTCTACTGAGACAGGGGCCGGGTGGGAAAATGGCCACAGGCAATTTCTAGAGGAAGGACCTATTCCTTGACAGACTCACCACCAAAAAAAAAAAAAAAAAAAATAAGGCTTTTTGCCCCGCAAGTTCCAGAGCCAAAAAATTCGGGCGAAGGAGTCTTATTGATTCAGCCTACATTTTGTTCTGGATGGGGCATAATGACCGGAGCGGCTAGAGGTACTTTCCTATCCCTCGTGGTGGGGAGGGGCTACATAAGAGAATATCAGCTCCTATAACAAAGGAGTCGTTAAGGGAGCTCCAGGAAACAAAAATTGTAGTGTCAACTAACCTTCACATCAATTCTTTTCCCTCTGATGGTTGCAATCCTGGAATAAGGAGTGAAAGAGTCAGGTTGTCTAGGAGATGGCAAGGGAATGGTTGGAAAGTATGGTCTCCCCTGCCCAGCCTAGGACAGGTCCCTGTATACAGCAAGCACCCAATCCATGCTTCCTGATGAATGACTGAATTAATGCTGTCTTCCCAGAGACTGTCCTGGGACGGCCCCTGCTTCGCAGACCCTGAGAGGGTCCAGAGAGAAGCGGGGCTAGGGGTCCCCCACACCGATGGAGCGCATCTTTAGGTACAGTGAGCGGGTGGAGGAGGGAACCTTTAGGTGACTGGGGGAACCTTGACGACCCCGCCACACCAAGGGCCAGTTGAGGGCGGGACTTCCAGACCCCAAGATTTTGGATTGAACCATCTTCCATTCGTTAGAGGAATAGAAAGTCCTTCTGCATCTTTCGCCAGCCTTTTACCACCCCCAGGCCACAAAGACAATGTATTCCTCTACCAAACAGCCACAGTTTTCCCCTTCTCCTGGTTACTCCTCACAGTTCCAAATACCCACACAATTCGGGATTCCCCATCACCACCGTGCAGTGGCTCGATCCACTTTGACGCATTGCAGGGAAGGCCGGACCAATCGGCGCTGCGCTCTCATTTCCGCCCTGGGCCGGGCCCAATAGCGATGAGGCTCACAGAGGAACGCGTCACCTTCTGCCAAACGGTGCTCCTCCGCTAGGGAGGAAAGTAGAGTGGACACAGGGGGCGGGGCTTGAAGTAACAGAAAGTAGTTCTGCGGCGGGGGCGCGCGCGCGCGATCAGCGTCAAATCCAAGCCCTATTCAGGATTGGGACCAGCGATCCGTGGGCTCATCTGTGCGGAGCAGAGCGCGGAGGGATCCGTGGGAGCCGCAGTGCGGCGACGCGCGGGGAGCGCGGGGCGGGGCCGGGCGAGGCGGGGCGCGCGCGGCGGCCGTTGAGAGACCGTTGGGGCGGGCGGCGGCGGCGGCGGCGCGCGCTGCGGGCAGTGAGTGTGGAGGCGCGGACGCGCGGCGGAGCTCGAGCTGCTGCAGCTGCTGCCGCCGCCGGAGGAACCTTGATCCCAGCGTTCCGGACACCCGGGCTTCGCCATGGTGAGTGAGGCTGAGGGGCCGCCGAGGTTGAGGGCGCGGCGGGGCAGACCCCTGAGAGGGCGAGTGAACCCGGAGCGGGGGCATCCGGGCCCCGGAGGGGGCCTCTGGGCCACCCTCTCGGGGGCATTTGAACCCAGAGCCGAACGTTTGAATCCCAGAAGGGGGCTTTGGGGCTTTCAATAGCGACTTTAGTACCAGATGTGTTGAGATCCCCAAATGGGCATCTGAGCCTCAGAGGGAGCATTTGGACCCAGGATGGAGCATCTGGACCCCGAAAGGAGTTTTGGATCCAAGATGGGGCATTTGGTCTCAGAATTGGGGTGTATGAACCCCCAGGAGGAGGAAATAAGAAACGCTTGCCAAGGAGGGGGGCTATTGGGGCCCTGATGAAAGCTTTGGGTCCTAAGAGGATGCAGGGAAGAGGGAATGGAGGTGGCCAGGCTGCTGGGCTGCACCTAGAGGATGGCCGTGGGTAGCTGGACCTGGTGGGAGGGGTGGCCACTGGGCTTCTAGGGATCAGAGGTGGGGGTGACTTCTGCACATTAGACCCCTGGGGGGAGGGGTCTCCAAGGACCAGCATTGCAGAGGAGGAGGAGGGAGAGGTGCAAGCTAAGTGAGGAAGAACTGGGGGGTGGGTGGCATTGGAGATTAAAAGATGCTTTTGAAGCCTGTGGGGACTGGGAAGGATCTGGTGGTGGAGGGGGGTTAAAGGGGGATGCCAGTATTGGGGAAACCCGGGGCCCCTGTGGTTGCTTTGGAGGGTACCTGGAGAAGATTATTAGATAACTAGTGGGTTAAGACTGTTGAACTAGGAAGAGAGATTTGGAGGGGGAGGGGGACTGTTGTATTTGGGTCCATGAAAAGATGGGTTTCCAAGGTGAAGGATGGGAGAGGACTTTGGCTAGGGTGGTGGGAGATGATGAGGCTGAAGGGGAACTGGGGGAGGGGGTTGAAGGAGACAATGAATGGCAACCAAGGTGGGCCTAGGTTTGGAGGTGGGTGTGGGTAGCTCCCTGCCAATCTCCAGGGAAAGGCCCAGACCAGGACTGTCCAGTCCAGGTGGGGAGTGGGCTGTGGAGGCTGGAGGGAATGGCTATGCAGTCCCCTTTCTGGGGAAGAATGGGACTGGATGAAAGGCACCAGGGTAGTGGGAGCAGGTGGGTGGAGTTGTTCAGGCCCCTATTGCGCACTGAAGCTGCATGAAATGGGGGTGGGGATCAAAGTTTGGGGGTGCAGCAAATGAACCAGTTTGTTTTAAGCCTAGAAGCCTTACCCCCCTCACTGACCCTTTCAGGCCAAGAACGCTGCCTTTTCCGAACAGGGTGCTGGCCACGCACTCTTCTGCATCTTCTCACTGGTGCCAAATGACAGTGCAGTACAGTACAGCGTGGCGTCAGTGACAATTGGATGCCTATTCCTGTGCCCTCAGGGTGGGGGCTGCAGAGCTGGACCTCCAGCAGACCCTTTCATCAGCTTGAGGGCCACTTGTTCCTTTCAGGGTCCTCACTGTGCTGCTGTCGGTTCGCACAGCTAAGGCTTTGGGAGAAACCAGCAGACTAGTTCTTCCCTACTCCCTGCCACCCACAACACCCACAGCCCGCACCCCCCCCCCCCCAGTCGCAGCCTGGGAACCGTGTGCAGCCATCCTCCCTGGCAAGGCTGGGAGAACAGGCAGCCACTGCCGTGTATCAGATCTCATACTTGCTGACACAGACCTGATGGCTCCTCTTGCCGCTGCCCCATTTTCCCCCAGCAGAACCTTGCTCAAGGGACCCTGCAGCTCTAGCAGGTGCCAGCAGGCCCCCCACCTCCAAAGGAGGGCCCAAGCTTTGGCCCTGACCAGTTTCTCTTTCCATTTGTAATCAGCAAGGTAAGGGTGGGACAAGTCACTGTTAACTGGCCTTGGACTTTGGCCTGAGCTCTATAGCTCCTCCTTGGCCGGGTGAGGGGCCCTGGCCTTGGTTTCTGATCTCATCTAACACTGTTCTCTGGCAGTGGCTGGGGGCTGGGACAAGGCTGAGCTGCTTTGCCCTCCCCCACCCCAAGTTTTATTTTCATGTCCAGCCTGAGATGAGGGATAAGGAAGCAGGAGACCAGCTGTATTATTTTGGAGACACTTTTTTGTGAAAGCTTACAGTCTTCTGGTCCAGAAAGGGAAGAAGCCCCGGGTCAGTGATCTCTTCTCAGGTGACCAGTTTTCTGGACAGCAAAGGTTGAGCACAGTCTGTAGCTGGGAGCTCTCCTTGACCAAACAGGGGAGAGGGCTCCTAACCTGAAGGAAGAATGTGTGACAGACCTCCATGAAGAGCCACGCCTATTTTGCAGCAACCTGGAACAACAGGATGTCAGTGCCTCATCTGACTCTTCCAGCTGTTTGGTGGGGAATAGCAGACCCGGTCCTTCAGAGCCGCTCTTGGGCTTTCTGCAACCTGTCTCATCTCCTTACAGTGCTGCCCAGAGGTGGAGGGAGCTGGGCTTCTCACAGAGTGGGGCTGTGCAGTGGGTGGGAAGGTCCCTGACTGGGCTCACTTTTTCCATTCTAGGCCAGGGGAAGAGAATGAAAAGCAGATGGAATGGCAGCTTCTCTCTGTTCTTCCTCTCCCCCCTCCCCCAGTATTGCCTGGCCTGGTAACCAGAAGCCCATCCCATCTTCTCACTCCCCCCCACACTCCCTGCCCACCCCCACCACCAGCAGCTTCCTCAGGTGTCAGGACCCAGGGAATGGGCCCTGGGCTTCTTTGCCTGTAAGAGCCAGGGCAGCAGATGAGCAGGGGGCTGGTGGGCCTAAGGCTGTTGGGTTGGTATTAAGGAGCCCACAACCCTGAGTCTTTTCTGACAGCCGTGCAGAAGAATCTCCATTTGGCCTTCTAATCTTCCCTTAGACTTTGGACTTTTCCAGAATGTGCATGTGTGGTGTTTTTCCTTCTGTACCTTCCTTCTTCCCTATTTCTCAGCCATCTCCCTTCTGTCATCCTCACTTTGATTTCCCCTCCCATTCTGACTATTTGGAGCTTGGTCTTGAGTTCCTCTAACCTTAGAGTAAACAACGTGTATTTAATACATTTGTGTGTGTGTGTGTGTGTGTGTGTACATGTTTACGTGTGTGTATATTTTTTAAAAGACTAGGATGACCGTCCATGAAGGCAGGGGTTTGTTCCTGGCCTCTGATGGAAGCTCTGGAACCTCTATGTGGAATAATGCAAATACACACAATAGTTTACTTCACTTTTTAGAGCTTTCAAACTCAAGGCTAGAGTCCTGTTGTAGACTTGGAGCCCTTTCCCCTAATTGGGAAAGTAAGGGAAAAAAGGGAAACAGTCATGTGGACCTGCAGCAGTCCAGCGATGGTGGGGCCTTCTAGGCAACATTTACAAAAAGCAGGAAAAATTTGTCTTCTAGCTGCCTATGGCTAGATACTGAGATACAGCCTTCATCTCTCTCCCTCCCCCAGGCCCTCTATACCCGGATTCCCAGCACACCAGTACAAGAAGAACTGTGCCCTGTGTCTTCCTGACCCCATTCTCAAGCCCCTCTTGCAGCAAGAGCTGCCTGCTGTGATTGGCCAGGTCCCAGAGTGGCCCAGGCTGGAACGGGTTAAAAACTGCAGCACTTAAGCAAGACTTCAGTCCTTTGCTGCTGTCGCTGCTGCCTGCTGCAGTCCCTTACCGGACATTTGTCCCTTCTGCCCCAAAGAAACAGAACCGAGTGGTGCCCTGCACCTACCCTGTGCTCAGGGGGGTGAAGCAGCCACCTTCAGCCTGACCAGGGTTGCTTCAGGCACCAGAGTAACTCAAAGGAACCAGTTAAGAAAATTTTTGCTTCTTGAGTCCACCTGCCTGATCCTAGCACTTCCAAATAGGTGACACAGAAACTAGCTAAGATAGCCTCAGACATCTTTCCTCTGCCCTATCTGAGGACTGGCCTGTTTCAGTTTAGAGCCTTCTAGAGCTGCTTGATTAGCCTCTAGGGCAGCCACTCCCTTCACACAGCCTCTGGGGCTCAGAAGCAAGTGAACCTGAGCCATGCCATGCCAGTGTGGCTGATTCCAGGCTTGAGCAGGCATTTCTCCCTACCCATGGGAGCTTAATCGGGCCCTGCACCAGGCAATGTGGGTTTCCAGACCACCCTAGTACCCAGCTTATGAATCTCTAGACTTTATCCCAGGCCCAGTTCTGCCTGTGATTTGCATACACCTCACTTGCCCAGTAGGAGTGACAGAGGGGCCTGGCTGAGTGGGGCTGCCTGGTCCAGTGACTGACTTTCCTTCCTGCTTTTCCAGGCTGACCAGCTAACTGAGGAGCAGATCGCAGGTGAGTCTCTTAACCCTCTTCCCCTTTGTGTTTCCTCGGGAAAGCTTCTGTATCCCCTGTCAAATTCTACCTCTGCTAGGACTGACATCTGATAGATGATAGATGAACATGTGCCCTCATTCTATGCCTTGTGCTGGAATATTGATAAGCGTACCTAAGAGCATACCTAGCACCCCATATGCCAATGCCATGTCCCAAGACACATCTTCCCCAGGCAGCAAAGACCATGCTTCTCCTGGGTGCTGATTATTTGGGGCTTTGACATCAGTGGCTACAGATGAGTCTCACTCTCTTCCAGCTCCAGCCAGGTGAGCTTACAAGGTGAGCTCCTTGCTGGGCTTGGTGGTACACTCCTGTAATCCCACTGGTTTGGGAGCCTGAGGCAAGAGGATCGTGAGTTCAAAGCCAGCCTCAGCAACTTAGCAAGGCCCTAAGAAATCCAGTGAGATCCTGTCTCTAAATAAAACACAAAAAAGGGCTGGAAGGGCTGGGGATGTGGCTCAGTGGTTGAGTCCCCCGAGTTTAATCCCTGGTACCAAAAAAAAAAGAAGGTGAGCTTGCTTCCCTGTGGGTTGTGGAGCTCCTGTCCCACTTTGGGAGCTGCCCAAGAGATGGCTCGTCACGCCCACCTCTGTGCTTTCCTGGCTTTGCACTTCCTTTTGCACATGCTTGCACTTTTTCCTCTGCCAGAAATGCTTCTCTTCCTATGCATGAGCAGCTCTTCCTCCTTCTGGTTTCATCTCACACGTCGCCTTGGAAAGGCCTTCCCTGACCTGACTCTCGTAGGCATGCTCCTTCTACTCTGTACACATCACTCTCTTTATGTCCCCCTTGTCCTTTCTTGCTATCTGCAGTTATTTTATCATGTCTGTACCCAGTGTATCTTCTGTCACTGGAAGTGAACTCCTTATGTTCAAGACTTAAGTCTTATTGGTCTCTGCCATATCCTCAGAGCCTGGAATATAGTAGGTGCTCTGTAAATTCTTGCTAGCTAAACAAACAATCACATGTCTCCCAGTAAGCCAAAAGATATTCCTGGAGCCCATCTAATTCATTTTTATAGTCCCCCCTCAAAAAAAAAAAAAAAAAAAAAAAGGTCATCTATAGGAACTATTATGTGATTATTTTTTCCCCATCCTCTGGCTGAGCTGCCTGTGGATCTTAGAGACCAATTCTTGGTTTTTCCCCAGCCATGGGCTGGCACAAGTAGAAGAGAAGTTTCAGAGAACTGGCCCTGCCCTACCCACACCGTAGCTTTGCTGTCAGGATCAGCTGAGCCTCTGAAGCAAGAAGAGGCAGGAATGGACATCCCTCTCTCCTTTTCTGCTGCCCCCAACACACAGTCACACTTTCAGCTTTGTAACTTTGGCCCTAGGCATTTGGAGACCCCCGGAGAAAAGCCAGAGAACTGCTTTGCTGTTTACTGATCCCAAGCCCAGGGGGCCACATGACCCAGTCCCTGCTGCCCGACTCCCAGCAGCAAGTCCTTGGCACAGGGAAATGATAGCATCCCCTAGGAGCTTTGAACCATTTCCCCAGGGCCCAGAAGCTGGAGGTCACAGCTGCCCAGGGGTGGGTGTGCCGCCCACCCCACCTGCCACCCACAGTCCAACCTTCTACTCTCCTGCAACACAATCACACACTCCTCTCTTTACCCTTTCCCCATTAACACACTGTCCACCACCTCACCCCAGCCCACACCCTCTGGGAATAGGCTGCCAGGCATCTGTTCTCTGAGGGTTTGGGGTAGGAGAGCACCAGGTGCCAAAATGGGCCCAGTGGGAGGGCAGAGCCACGTGCTTCCCTCCCTGCTCAGCAAACAGCATCTCCCCACTCCTGATGCGTCCCCAGCTGTGGCCTTCCCACTCAGCACCACTCACTGCTCATCCTCCTAGCTTGGCAGCCGTCCCCTCAACTCCCATCCCCTCCACCCCACGCACCGTCCGTCAGCCATGCTCTGTTGCGGACCACCCCCACGCATCACTACCCCCACAGGCTCAGCTCCTCCTCTGGAAGTGGGCAGCACCCACAGCAAAGAAGGGCTAGCAGTGCCTGTCAGGAGGAATCAGTGCCTGCATTTCCTCTTCAGGCTAGCCAAAGGCATTCCAGCCTCCCCTCCCATCCCCTCCCCTCCGGTTGACCTTGGCTAGCATACTTCAGATGAATTCTCTTGGCTCTCATCCACTCTGACTTTGGTCCATTTCATCATCATTTGAGAGTGAGGCCAAAGCCAGGGACCAAAAAGAAATGGAAAATTCTGTAAGGATAGCTGTCAGCTCGTGGTCCCTGGTATCCTCACAGAGCTCGAATGGCTGAAGACTTCTGCTGCAGAGTTTCCATAACCGTCCAATGAAGGAAACAAGGGCCTGGCCCTGAGGACGGAGGCTGGCACGAACTTACAGTCTGGCTCAGTTTCTGTAGGTGGGGCCAGCTCCCTTGGCCTTCCTCAAGGGAGGGAGTCCCTGTGGCCTCTTGACCACAGCTCATTCCCTTTCTTCCCCCAGAGTTCAAGGAGGCCTTCTCCCTCTTCGACAAGGATGGAGATGGCACTATTACCACCAAGGAGTTGGGGACAGTGATGAGATCCCTGGGACAGAACCCCACTGAAGCAGAACTGCAAGACATGATCAATGAGGTGGACGCAGACGGTGAGGCCCTAGGGAGTGGGTGGACAGCCCCACTCCAGGTCACCCCTGCTGACCACAGGAAACCTTCCTTAGGGCAATGGATGGACCAATAGCTCTTCCACCAGGGCTCTAGTGTCACCTAGGGCCAAGGTCAAGGGCATAATCCCCTCTCTTCTCTGCCTTCCAGGAAACGGGACCATTGACTTCCCGGAGTTTCTGACCATGATGGCCAGAAAAATGAAGGACACAGACAGTGAGGAGGAGATCCGAGAGGCATTCCGCGTCTTTGACAAGGTGAGCAGTGCCTTCCCAGGGCAGTTCTGAGACCAGTTCCAGCCTTCCAGTGGTCAGAGCAAAACCAGAGCTACCAAGCCACCACTCCCAGGGAACCTGGGTCCCAGCACCGGCCCCCTGCCACCACCACCTGCTCTGCACTCTCAGATAGCCCCCTTCACTCTGCCTGCTGCCACTCTCCTACCAAGGAAGCCAAGTGAAAGCCTTTGTCCCCAACCCCCAGGATGGGAATGGCTACATCAGTGCCGCAGAGCTGCGTCACGTAATGACGAACCTGGGGGAGAAGCTGACCGATGAGGAAGTGGATGAGATGATCAGAGAGGCTGACATTGACGGAGATGGCCAGGTCAATTATGAAGGTGAGCCAGTCCAGCCTGTGTACCTTGTGCCAGGGAGGGCCGCTCAGGCTCAGCCCTGCTCACCGGACTTCTCCCTTTCTGTCCGCAGAGTTTGTACAGATGATGACTGCAAAGTGAAGGCCGCGGGCAGCTGGCGATGCCCGTTCTCCTGATCTCTCTTCTCGCGCGCGCTCTTCTCTCTTCAACACTCCCCTGCGTACCCCGGTTCTAGCAAACACCAATTGATTGACTGAGAATCTGATAAAGCAACAAAAGATTTGTCCCACGCTGCATGACTGCTCTTTCTCCCTCCTCCCGGTCCCTCCCTCCATGTCCCTCATGGCTTCCTTCTGCCCTCCCCATTCCATTCACACCTTCCAGGCCTGATGCATTCATAAGATGAACCCACGCCCCTTGAGGGAGCCTGTGCCCTCCTCCTCCAGCCCGGGTGGCTCTCCTCTGTTGCCGTTTGTTTCCTTTTGTTTGTCCTCTTATTTTGGGTGCTGGGGTGGCTGTCAGCCCTGTCCCAGACCTGCTGGGGGGGCGGTGAGGCCCTCACCCAGGCAGAAGAGCATGCCCTTTGCCATTGCATGCAACCAACCCTGTGGTTCCGTGTGTAAATCCCAGCAGCCTGTGGGGCAGGGATGCCAGGAGAGGTGTTCTAGGACTGAGGGGGGATCCAGGAACTGTGGCGTTGACTGGATGTGGCCCAGGAGTGGGGCAGGGGCAAGGAGGCCTTGGAAGCTGGCGTGCTTATACCCGAGGGGGCCCACTTGGAGGGGATAGACCGTGGACAGCACTCAGGTCCTGCTGGCTGCTGTTCCAAAACCATCTGATTGGCTTTCTGGGGTTGGCCTGGGTAGGGGACTGTTCATTTGGCCACTCTGCAGATCACATGTGCCCGTGTCCCCCCAGTGATCTCGAGCTGTTCTGTAAATACCTGGTGCTAACATCCCATGCCGCTCCCCCTGTGGCGCACCCACCCTGAGGGCCTGTCTAGGAATGGATGTGGGGATGGTCGCTCTGTAATGTGCTGGTTATCCTTTTTTTTTTCCCCCCCCATTTATGCTCCTTAAAAATCTTCATTTTGCCCCAAACCATGCCGGGCCAGCTGAAGGGTGGGGAGAGGGCAGATGAGCCCCACCACGCTCTCACAAGAACAAACCTGCAATAAAACAACCCAGCTGCCCGCTGCGCAGAGCACGCGGCAAGGGCAGCCTCTGCCTCCTGCTCGGCCGGCACCTCCCGCTCTGCCCCTCGCTCCTGTGGTGACTTGGCGCTGCTTCTCACCTCTGCGCTGCCTCAGCCTCTGCCCTCGCCCCTGCCTGCCCCGCACTTCCCAGCGGAGAGCATGATCCGCACCCCGGCTTCTGCCTCTCGCCTCTGGGACAAGTCAGTCAACGTGGGCAGTTCAGTCTGGGTTCTTTTCCTTTCTCTGTTCTTTTCATCCGGCTCCCCCACCCCAGGTTGATCAGGTGGTTTTTCCTGGGACCTGCCCAGTTTTGAGACTTCTCTGCCCTCTGGTACCAGCCTCCGAGGGAGGGAGGGAGGGAGGGAGGGCGGGCATAGTGGGAGACCAGCCAAGAGCTGAGGGCAAGGGCAGGGAGGCGTGAGGCTGTGGACATTTTCGGAATGTTTTTGTTTTTTTTTTTTAAACCGGGCAATATTGTGTTCAGTTCAAGCTGTGAAGAAAAAATATATATCAATGTTTTCCAATAAAATACAGTGACTACCTGACCTGGCTCTTCCCTCCTGTCTTGGTCTGGGCCTGCCCCACTGGGACTTGGCCCTGCCACTGAAGAGCCTTCCCAGTATTCCCAGGGCAGCGAAGCCTGGATCCTAGCCTGGCCGCGAGGTGGTCGAGGGCAGGGTGTCCGCAGGCCACCTGGGTGGGTGCATGCGTGGACCCGCAGGACGGAACAAGAGGGGGAACTAAGGCAGCTTCGAGGCAGGTACATGGTGCCACAAGAGCACCCGAGGATTGCACGCAGGACTGAGGTGAAGCCTGGATGTCGAGCCAGCGGCTAATGGGAGGAAGGGTGTTGCAGCCAGAGGGAACAGCATCTGTGGAAGCCCTGCGGCAGGAGGAACAGGAGACATCAGGAAACTGAAAACCGCTCAGGCTGAGTGAGCCTTGAGAAGATGAGGCAAGAGCCCTCTGGCGGTAGTCTTGACAAGGCGCTGGGGGGCGGGGCGGGGTAGGGGGATGGCCTTCACGGATGTCCATCAGGCAGGCTGAAAGCCACACTGGGATCTGCAGTGTTGAGAACAGGACGGTCCTGGGCGCATAGGAGGGTGTGGGCTTGGGGGTCAAAGACTTGAAACAAAAGCTCCAGGTCGTCGCCAGCTTCCGAAAGCTTGCTAACTTCCCATGGTTAGCAAGTAGGGACTCAGAAATGAAGACCTCCCAAGCCCCCCGGGCTGTGCCAAAGGGATGCATCCGGCCCTCAGGGACCTTCCCAAAGTAAATGCTCCCACAGCTTCTCCCTCTGCTGGCCTGGGCTGCAGGGTGAGCACAAGTGGTCTCTAACCCTTGAGCTTCCCACCCTCCTGCAGCTGAGCAGGAGTAGAATGGGCAGTTGGTGGAAAGGGAGTTTCCTCTTCACCTGTCCTTGAAAGGATGGTGAAGCCGCAGGCCAGAGGCATCGTCAGGCAGGGCCAAGCCTCAGGGGCCTTCCTATGGCGGAGTGGGCCTCGCTGGCTTTTCCCAGTGTGTCCAGTTATTGGAGTCCAGCAATGGGTGGAGAAGTTGGGCGTGGCAGCCATTTTTCCAGAACCCTGTTTCCATGCCCGTTTCCTGCTGCCTGGTCTGTGGTGTGATGCAGTAGACAGTGGAGTGTAGTGGGTAAGAACCGGGGGCCCTGTGGCCTCCAGCCCTGCCCACAGGTGTGTGGTGGGACCTCCTGTGGGGAGCTGTGGGTTGGATGGGGCAGTAGGGAGACGGCCTGATGTCCTGGCCAAGTGCTCATTAAGCATCGCCATTATTTGTTAGCTCTTCCTACTTCAGAGACTATCTCCTAAGCTCTGCATCCAGCACCTCAGGGAAACCTTAGAGCAGCTCTTTGGGTGGGTGCCAAAAGCCCCCCTCCCATGCTGACTGGGAAGCTGGGGCCCAGAGTAGGGAAATCACCCCTCAAAGTTATAAAGTAGAAAGTGGCAGAACTGGAATTCAAACCAGATCCAAGCTCTCAACTGCTGGGCTTCAAGCTAAGTGGTAGTTAAAAAAAAAAAAAAAAAAAAAAAAAAAACACTGACTTCGGGGCCTAAGATCTGCAATTCTGCAACTCCAGAGGCTGAGGCAGAAGGATCACAAATTTGAGGCCAGCCTCAGTAATTTAGTGAGACCCTATCTCAAAAAGGGGGGGAGGGAGGTTGGGATATAGCTCAGTTGTAAAGCACCCCTGGATTCAATCCCCAGTACCAAAAACAAAATAAAACCAGGTGAGGTGGCATACACCTATAATCCCAGCAGCTTGGGAGGCCAAGGCAGGAGGATTGCAAGTTCAAAGCCAGCCTCAGCAACTTAGCAAGGCCCTAGACAACTCAGTGAGACCCTGTCTCTAAACAAAATACAAAATAGAGCTGAGAATGTGGCTTTCTGGGTAAGTGTCCCCTGGGTTCAAACCCCGGTACCAAAAATAAATTAATGAAATACTGACTTCAGGCACATCCAGGTCACAGAGCCAGCAGGGGTTGGGCTGAGACAGAGAGTCCTTGCTAGCAACCAGGCTGCCTGTGGAAAATTCTGTCCAGAAGTTGAGAGTGTAGGTTTTGGTGGTCCCGGAGAAGTGGGCTCCAGTCCCAGTTTGACCACTCCCTGGGGTAGTCTCTTTCCTCACTATCCTCAGGGGTCACCTCGGCCACTTCCTACTTGGTAACCTAGGAGTGGCGACTTTACACCACTGGGCCTCAGTTTATCGGTCTGCAAAAGAACCTGTAAAAGGAGGATCATAAAAATACCCACCTTAGCGGCTGGTCATCTTGTCATTCAATTCTTAGCCAGGCCAAGGGATCCCAGTAAGGACACTGCTCCTACTCGAGCCCAGACACAGAGGCAGGACACAAGTCACTCTCCAGCTCTAACAAGAGAGGCTGGAGCCAGGCAGGAGACCCTTGCACCACACGCACCTGCCTGGAGGCTCTGGGCTGGGTCCCTGAATCCCAGGTGGCCACTCAGGCCCACCTGTACTGTGCCCCTTTCAGCATTCTCCCCGCAGGCCCCGGGGTTTGACTCCCAGACATGTCGTGTTATTAAATAATCATGACTTCCCTTCCCCGTTCTTTATTAATCAAAGACACAAGGGTGGCACTCAGCTCTAATGGCCGCGGGGCAGGCAGCCAGGCAGCGACTCCAGCCCACAGCACAGAGATGCCTGCCTGGGCGCATCTCCAGCCAGCTCCAAGCCTGTCCTGAGCAGGTGGCCAGACTTGGGGCCACCAGGGGTACCCAGCCAGGGGAGGCCCAAGCCCCCCTACTCCCCAGAGGGTGGCTGTGGCCAGTGCAGTTGTTCTGGGGCCACTTCTAAGTGTCACACCCAATGTGACCAGCAGGTGGGGCCATGATGACAGAAGGCCCCAGAGAGCTATAACTCCCTGGTCCAACCCTGGGGTGTGTATTTAGGTCTCCTCTGTGGGTCGGCCTTGTGCTAGGAAGACAGCAAGCAAGAAAGAAATTTTAAAATGAATAAAGTCTCCTTGAGAGAGACAAACCATACTTGGCATGTCACTTGCTGACCCCACCCCCTCAGGAGCTATGTCTTCAAGGAGGAGGGAAAGTTGAAGATGGATCTTGAGGGGCAAGAGCATTGGATGGAGGAAAAACATTTGTTCCTTGGCCAGGCGTGGTGGCGCACACCGACAATCCTAGAAACTGAGGAGGCTGAGGCAGGAGGATCGTAATTTTGAAGCCAGCCTGGACAACTCAGCGAGACCCTGCCTCAAAATAAAATGCAAAAGGGGCTGGAGATGCAGCTCAGTGGATTCAATCCCCAGGACTCTGGTACCCAAAAAATAAAAAGGGGAAATAAAGCAACAGTTGTTCCAGGAGAAGGAGTTAGAAGGCGGTCTGAAAGGTCATGGCCTTTTGGAGAAACCTCAGCAGTGGGTGGTACCGGGCTGTGGCCTCCAAACAGCAAGCTCTTGTGGAGCTTTGCAACTCAGACTGAGGGGCTGTGGGTGGACAGGTAGAAGTCATCAAAACCGCTGGCCTGACGCACAGTGTAACATCCGGGACAGGAATTGGGGTTCTGAAGTAAACGGTGGGGCCTTGGGCCCAGATGGGAATGATAGATCAAATGCTGGGCCCTGCTCAGAAGGGGACTAGCCCACCTTTGGGGTAACACAAATGAGTTCAGCTGCCCCCCCATCCCTGCTTCGTGCTCTGGGAGTGATGGGTGGCTTCCTGCTTAGGCCAGGCCAGGTTTGGTGACAAAGGAAGACCCATTCTGATATTTCCTGAGCCATACTTTTTGTGTTTTTACAAATGAATCCTTTATCATTCATTTCATCCAATATACCAGTACTTGGCCAAGACTATTGGACAAATTGCTAAATACTCACATTTTTTTCCTTCAGTATTGCATTGGTTTTTTATTGTGGTCAGTACCCATAACATAAAAGTTAATAAATTCAGCCATCTGCAACACACCTCCAGTCACCAGTTCAGTGATATGTGGTACGTTCACACTGTCGGCAAGGTCACCACTCTCTAGTTCCAGAACTTTCATCACACTAAGAGGAAACCCCAGACCCATTCACTGGTCCCCTCTATCCATACTTTTTGTTGGTTGGTTTTTGGTTTTGCTTTGGTACCAGGGATTGAACCTTGGGGCTCTTAACCACTGAGCCACGTCCCCAGCCCTTTTTATTTTTATTTTTTTCATTTTGGGACAGCATCCCACTAGGGTGCTTATAGCCTCTGCTAAGTTTCTGAGGCTGGCTTTGAACCTGCCATCCTCCTGCCTCAGCTTCTCGAGCCACTGGGATTTCAGGTGGCTCAGTCCATTTTTTAACTTCTCCCAGATACTCCCTGTTCTTCCTGAATGTGATTTGAAGCACAGTAACAGAAAAAATAAATAAATAAATAAATGTTAGAGCCATGGCACAAGCCCTGCTTCGTCTTCAGGTCACATTTGCCTGGGGACAGTAGCCACGGCAATGATAGTAATGCCCGCTGCGTACTCTATTCCCTGTGCCCAGTCGCTTTCAGAGAGAATCCTTCTCTGGAGCAACCCTATAAACTAAGTTCCAGATTGTGATTGAAAGGGAACCAAGGGAAGCTGTGGCCCCAGCCAGCAAGCTGGGCCCTGGGGGTGGACAAGCAGGCTACTCTACAGGCCAGCTCTACTTTCTCCTTGCTGTGTAACCCTACAGAAGGTGATTGCCCACTCTGAGCCTTGATTGCAGCCTCTCTAGCAAGGCTCTGCTAACAGGCTATTGGGTGGCTGGAGGGAGAGGGTGCGTCTGGCGTGGAGGGGACATTCACTCCATCTTGGCTACTGCTGTCTTCATAGAAGGACATGCTTCTCCCCTGCACCTTTCCCCAGGTGCAGGTTTGCTCTTTCAGCCAGGGGTGAGAGAGAAAGGGGAACAGGGGTTGGCAGGGTGGGGGTGGGGGTAGGAAGCTTCCTGTTCACCCTCCCCCACTCCACTTGCCAACTCACTTCCTTTTGCGCTCACTCCCCAGCACCCTGGATTTCTGGCCTCTCTGGGGGCCAAGGAATGGCCATGAGAAGGTGAAGACAGTCTGGCAGTCACCCCAGCAGAGCCCAGGGCAGGACAGAGACGTGTCTACGCCCCTACACCATGCAGAGCAGCGCCAACTGAGTGTTCGCTGAATGAATGAACGCAGGGGATCTTTGTGAGGGTTCCAAGGACGGACAGATGAGGTCAGGCTCTGTAAGGTGGCAGCTGTTTGTTCATGGCTGAGAAATGGGGGACAGGCGCAGGACCTGGGTCTGCATTCTCGGGAGGCTCCTGGGATCCCCAGCTCCCACCCCTTCAGCCACCAGCTTCTCCATCTTTCTCCGGGCCAACCTCCCCCTGAGTTCGAGTGGCACAGGCCACCTAAGCTGCGCAGAGTTCCTCAGATCCTTTCTGTACCTGGCTCAAGTCCAGCAATGTCTCCACCACCTTGCCTTCTTCCCACCTACCCTTGGGGTTCTGGGCCCCCAAATCTGATGGGGGATGGGAAGTTTTCCGAGAATCCCTGGCTCCCACGGGCAGAGAGGGAGTGGCTCTTAGAGTGGCTTAGGAGAGGGCAGGCCGTCCCCTGGGGACTGGAGTGGGCAGCCAGGGCCCCCTTAATGGATGAGCCTGGGAGTGGGAGCCTAACCCAGCAGACCCGAGTGCACAGAAGCCGCTGGGAACGCTTCCACCTCCTAAATATTTACACAGTGAGATGGATGGGGAGCCGGGGCCGGATCGGGCAGCTAGGCCGCTGGCTATTTTGAGAAAACCGTTCTTTTTGTGCTCCAGGATAAACGTCGCCTGCGTCCCCCGGTCTGCTCCCAGAGCCTGTAGCGGTGGCCCTCCAGGAGGACGAACAGCAGCTGGCCCGCCCCGGATTCGGGGCAGAAGGTTCTGACATCCGCAGCATCGCCCCGGCCCCCGAGCTCGGTTTTCTGGCTCCTGTCCCCGGAAGAGAGGGCAGGCGATGACAGGGCCGGCTTCGATGTCAGCAGAGGGAGCAGGCGACCTCGGCTTTGGACGGCGTTCCCACGGTGCTGCCGCTGGACCGCGGCGCAGGAGGCACGGGCGCCACCTGCCCCTCGCCCCAGGCCGACAGCGGCACCCAGCTCCCCTCCTTCCCCTGGAGAGCGGTACCAGGGACCCGGGGGTCCCCCCTCCCTGGGGCGGGCCGGGAGAGCGGGGTCTGCGAGTCGCCGCGGGCGGGCCGGGAGCACAGGCAGCAGAGCCAGAGGCGGAGTCGCTGGAAGACGGTCTTGCGGAAGAGAATGAAGACCCAGGGGTCCAGGATGGGGTTGAAGGCGTTGAAGCGGAAGGCGAGCAGGTCCCCCATCTCGCTGCTGTCCGGCGCGATGGCCTGGGTGAAGCCTCGGATCTGAGGGCAGGGAGGCCGTCAGGGGGCCCAGGGTCCGCCACCTCCCCTGGCCCCCACTTGCTCACCAGCAGGGGTGAGGGAGGGGCGCAAAGGAAGGAAAGAAGATAAGATGGAAACCGAGTCGCTAGAGCATCCGGGGAGCAGAGGAAGGGAAAGCCCCAGAACACCGCCTGGGGGAGAGGCTGGGGCAAGGAATGTGGGTCCCCTGGCCCTTGGCAGCCTGGGGGACTCCTCAGCTGGACCCTGAGGTCTAAGGCTCCCCAGATCACACGCAGAGCTGCGGCAGTGTCTGGCCACACTCATCCTCTGAGTCAAGTCAACCCCAGCCCAGCCCCTTGCATTTTACAGAAAGAGAAACTGAGGTCCAGAAACAGGTGAGATGACCAGGTGTCACTGCCCCTAGTGCTGCTTTTGTGGGAGAGGCTTGGGGGACCCTGTGGGAAACAGGGAAGGGTGGGAGATTCAAGGGCAGAGAACACAGTGGGGGGCCTGGGCTGGGGGAGGTGGTGGGGGAGACCGTGAGCCTCAGGGATCAGAGCCCAGGGTGGAGACTTGGCTCTGTGTAACTGGGAGCAAGAGACACTGCCCCTCATCTGTTAAAAGGGTGACAGGACGGGACCTTGGTTTTTCCTGCCAAATGCTTGTGGAAAGGGTGTGTAAGTTCTTGTTGAAGGTTATCTGAGGAATTATCTCTAAGCCACTAAGCATCAGGAGGGCAGAGAGCAAGTGCTCATGAATAGTGAATGCTGCTGTTATTTCAGGATAAGGGAAGGATGGGGGTGCATTTGATGATGGGGGCTCAGGGGGTGTGGGAAAAGAGGACCCAGGGAGACCGGCATTGGAGGAGCCACATGGGGCAGAATTAAGTGAAGAGAAACTTCTCCAGAAAGTTGGAAACCATTTGGCCACAGACTATGCCTCTGTTTGACCTCACCAGAGTCTCTGTTTTCCCATCTGTGAAATGGGTACAGCCATGGGAGGACAGAGCTGGGCACTGCCCCCCATCCCTCCCCCTGCACCTCAGCTCCCCGGGACTCACCGTGAGAGGCAGGGAGCACACAGCCATGATGCCTGTCATGAGGGCCAGCAGAATCAGGTGGTCAACCTCGTCTTCGCGTGCCCGGGAGCTGGGGACCAGGGATCCCTGGTGGCGCCTCTGCTGACGGTACATGCGGCAGAGGCTGAGGGTGACAGAGCCATTGCACAGGACAATGGCAGTCACCAGCAGGGCCACAAGGCTGGCATAGGCCAGTGAGAAGGCACAGCCACCGGGCTCTGTGGAGCGCATGCGGATGAAACACCAGCTGCCGGGGCAGTACTGCTGGTGTTGACCCAGGCCCAGCAGGGGCAGGGCGCAGAAGAGGGTGCAGAAGGTGTAGATGGCAGGCAGCGCCAGGCGGGCACAGCGTGGCCCATCCAGCTGGGCGTACAGATAGGGGTGGCTGAGTGCCAGGCAGCGCTCCACGGCCATGGCGAAGAGGATGAGCGTGGAGGCCAGGCCGAAGAAGGTCATGGCGAAGGCGAAGGCGTCGCAGAGCGCGTGGCCCCCCTGGGCCAGCCCCAGCAGCGAGCTGTTTCGAGCATAGGCCACGAACACGGCTGGACTCAGGAAGCTCGTGCCCAGCAGGTCTGTCACTGCCAGTCCCGTGACCAACACAGCAAAGGCTGATGGGCGTGACTGTCGCCGGGCCCCTAGGATGCCCAGTGCCAGCCCGTTGCCCACCACACCCGCCACAAACATCAGGGTGCTGGTGGCCGGTCCTACGGAGCCCCGAACGTAAGTGAGGTTCCTGCAGGAATCTGCCATGGCCCGCTGCTGTCCACGAGGGGACCCGGCTGGCTGCAGGGCTCCCAGGGGTGGGAGGTGCAGGGACCCTCGGGTGCCCACCGAGGGCCAGCCGGACCTGCCAATCGACCTTCAGCCCTCCGTGCCCCCACTGTGTCTTCTGCGTTTCTCTCCCTGTGTCTTCGCTGGTGTCTGTCTGCCTGTCTGTCTCTATTCTGGTCCTCTCCTTCTCAGTCCTTCCTCTTCTGCCTCCTCAGCCCCTCTGGACCTCAGCAGCCTCAGCCTCTCCTCCCCGCGTGTCTCCAAGTCTGCGTTGATCTGCGGCCTCTCCGCCTCCGCCCTCCCTCCTCTGCTGCTCACCCAGGCTTCTTCATTTCCTCTCTCTGCCCCGCCCTCCCTCCCCTGCCTTCTCCAGAGGCCCCCCCAGCTCCCTGCCGCCTTCCCTGGCTGCACCCCATCCTCCCCTTGTGCACCCATCTCCTGCGCCTGCCCCCTCCCCGTCCCCTCTCTGCCACCTGCCACCTCCCCACTTAGACCTCTGCTCTTCTCCCTCTCCTGTGCTCTCCCTCTCTGGCCCCCAACACCACCCAGTCACCCCGTTTGGGCTCCACCAGGGGACCCGGGCAGGATCTGAGGGGTGTAGCCGACCATTTGAGTGGGGAGCTGGGCCACGGCCTGGGCTGCCTTGGGGGGGCCTCTGGGATCTATTCTGGGCTTCAGGCCCTAGGGTTAGGACATGGCCCAGGAATTGAGAAATGACCAGGAAATTCCTCCCTGATGCAGTGTTTTCCAGACACCACTGAGATTTCTGCTCCCTGGACACAATTCACTCCTTCCTGAAAACAGGGAAGGAGGGAGCCCAGCCAGAGCCTGGCCCCGGGCTCCCGCTCTCGAGCTCAAAGCCCGAGCAGGAACGCCAGGGAGGAGTCCTTTGGTGTTCCACCAAAGGCTCAGGCCCAGGGGACCCCCGTGGCCTACCATCAAGAGGGCATCCTGCTGACCTCCTGCTTCCCACCACGGTACTTCCAGGCCCCAGGCCAAGCTCCAATGACCTTGACCTTCAAGAATAATATTTTGGCCACAGACACATGACCATCCAGGACTCCAACATCCCGGCAACATCTCCCACCCTCCCCAGTGCCACCTCCTTCTGGCCAGTGTGGTCAGCCCACATGTCCCAACTGTCAGCTCAGTGGTCATGGCCTGGCCCCACGGAGCCCATGAGGCAGAGCTTCTCAGACACCCCTCGATTTTCAGGTCTCAGCGTAGAGATCACAAACTCAGAGACTCTTATGCATTACACTAGGGCTCTTGTCCCAATTCAACCCCCTTCTTCCCGTGGGATGGTCCTGAGCAGGGACAGGAAGCTGGTGTGCCTCAGTCTCTTCGTCTGTACAATGGTAACAGAGGTCCCACAGGCCAGTGGTCCACTGTGGCCAGCAGCTCTCCCCAGGTGCATGTGAAGGAAAGAGCCTATGCTGATGTCATCTCAGACCCAAGGCCAAGAAGGTACTCCTGACCCGGGGCTGGACTATGGGCAGCTGCAGCCTCGCACTCTCTGTCCCTGCCCTGGTGACCGCAACCCCTTGCTTCTCCCCCATCTCCTTATCATCCATGCCCAGCTGGCACCCCCGGCTTCCGGCAGGATGGATGCCCAGCTCCAGTCACTCCAGGGATTCCCCAGGGAACACATGGGCCTGCTCTGGGGGTGCCTGTGGGTGGGGCAGGCCTCCTGGCCATGTGGTGCCCCTCGGTGCTCCGGTTCCCAGGCAGAGGGAACTCAGGAAGTTCTATCATATTAATGAGCGATGACGCCTGGCAGCCCGTCCTGCCTCAGGCATCAGGGGAGCTGTGAGCCGGAGGTGGGAGCTCTGGTTCCCGGAGCCTTCTCCCTCCCGCCGGCTTCCTGTCCCCACCAGGGTCGTTAAACATTCAAGAAGTGCCCTCTGCTCCCGTGCCAAGGGGGAGGTGGGACAAGCCCCTGCCCTCCTCCAGGACTCAGTTTCCCCTCCTGAGTTCCTAGGGGCTGCAAGTTCTAGCAAGGCCAGCATCTGTTCTGTGCTCCTGCATCAGAGGTTGGGGTGGGGACAGAGCTGTAATTCCTTCCTAAGGAGGCACTGGGGGTCCCTGCCAGGGCTGCACATACCTACATGCTCTACATGGGACGCCCTGCCATGTGCCTGGCTGTGGCCCAGCCAGGGCTCACAGGGTTCTTCTCCTGCCCCGGAGCCACGGGTTGAGGGGTCACCCGTCAGCACTGTGGGAGAAGTGGCTTCTGGGCCCAGGGGAGCCAGGCAAGGGACTGCCCCGGGAGGGTGAGTCAGCAGCCAGCCGCTCTCCACCCCCTGCTAGCAACAGACGTGGCCTCCCTAAGGGACCCCAGGCAGCAGCAGGCAGAAGAGGAAGGACAAAAGAGGACAGGGCACCCAAAGGGAAGGGAGACGGGGACCCAGGAGAGGGTGGGTGCACACAGGACCTGGACTGGGATTCTGTGTGGGATTTGAAGGGCTTACGTGACCTAGGTGAGCATTTGTGTCAGCGTGGTGATTGTGCACGTGTGTGTGTGCATGTGTGAGACTCTGAGTCTGCAGGACTTATGTGGCTGTATCTCCGTGACAGGGCCAGTTTCTGTGTTGTGTATGGTGCGTGTGTTGTGACCACACGGAACTCTAGGTGTGCCTGTGTATGAAGGTGTTCTTTGCTATGTGCATGGATGGGGCTGGGTGTGTTTGTGTGTGTGAAGATGTGTGTGTGCAAGCTCATGTATATTTTTGCAGACATGGCTGTGTCTCCATGGTGCATTGCCATAGTGTGTGCCCTTGTGGGTGAGGCCAATCTGGAAGCATGTGGTGGGTCTATTTGAACATGTGTGTGTGGGGGGTGCTCACTTGTATTTTGTTTTATTTTGGATACTGTGGATTGAACCTGGGGGTGCTCAAACACTGAGCCACATCCCCAGCCCTTTTTATTTTTTATTTAGAGACAGGGTCTTGCTGAGTTGCTTAGGGCCTCACTCAGCTGCTGAGGCTGGCCTCCCACTTGTGATCCTCCTGCCTCAGCCTCCTGAGCCACTAGGATTACAGGCGTGCACCACCACACCCTGCTCGCTCATTTCTTCATGGCTGTGTCTGTCAGGGTGTGTCTGCATGTGGCAGGGGAGACCTGGGGAGACCTGGGCTGTGGAGGGAGACCGGGTTTTGAAGTTATCTCCACTGCTCACCATCTGCCATGTGACCCTAAGAAGCCCACTTCCTCCTGGCAAAGCCTTGGTGTTCATTAATGGCTGCCCTGAGCTTATCGAGGTATTGTGTGATAAGAGACATGTCACCCCACCTGCCTCTCAGGAACCCCTTAAATCCCTGCTGGTGTTATTACTCACTCAGCAATCCTCTTAGACGTGGGCTCAGAGGCGCCATTCAGTGGGGAACAGGGAGCGCGTATCCCCAGGCACACAGAGCCTTCAGCTGAGTGCCTGACCCAGCCAGGCCTCCCATCTGGGAGGGAGCTGCCGCAGCAGGTCAGGAACGGAGCTGTGACAGCCTCAGCCAGCACCTGGCCCCCACTGGGTCTAGGTGGCTGCAGACCTGCCAGCGGGCTTCCTGGGCCCATCCTCTCCTGCCTCCCTGGTTTTGTCCCCCTGGGCCTGGTCCTGGAGGAAGTCACCCCACCTCATGCTCAACACATAAGTGCCACCAGCTGCTCACGGCGCCCAGCCACAGTGCCCTCTCTTTGCTGGGTCAGGCACATGCTGCAGGGCAGGCCGCGCGCCCACTCTCAGAGGCCATGTTCCTCTGCCCACTGCCCTCAGCCGCAAAGGGGCCCTCGCGGTCTGCCCCTGCTGCTGCCCCTGCTGCAAGGGCTCTGCCTGTCCCCTGCCTGCCCTGGGTTTGCCTGGGTAGGGCCCCCATCCTTCAGGCCCCTGGGCACCCCAACTTTCTCCAGAACAGTCCTCCACCAGATCGCCCAGCCCCACTGGCCAGGGGACCTCACCACTTGGAGCCTCGTCTCCATTCTGCAAAATGGGGCTGAACCAAGCCGCGCTGCGGGCCCTTATGAGGATTAAGTGGGGCTTAAAAGGACATCAGTAAGAGATGGTGAGGGACGACTTCGGTCTTCTCCCCACAGGCCCCTCCCCAGGACAGGCACGGCTCTGAGCTCCTGGGCTGGGGACAGCTGCAGGGGGCACAGGGAAGACAGCCCGGGCCAGGGGAACGGGAGGGGACTGCTGCGAGCAAGTACTACTTGGGTGGCCACATCTCCCTCTTGGCCTGGCTGTGACCCCAGTCAGGGCCTGGTCCCAGAGCTTACCTCACAGCTGGGGTGACAGGAAAGAGCAGCGGCCCCCAGAGCTGGTGCTGCTTGCAGAGTTGTAAGGCTAATAAAATTAACTGGGTCTGTGCTCCTGGGCACTGGTCACCAGAGGGCCTGCCCCGTCCCTTCTAGCTTCTGGCTTCTCCTCCCTCCCAGCCTCCCTCCCTCCCGTGGACATCTGCTGGTCCCCTCTGTGCCCACCTCCTGCCCGCCTCTGTCCCCAGGCTCCAGCCGGCCCACCCCTCTTGCTTCCCTGTGATTCCCCCAGACCAGCAAGGCCAGGGAGGAAGGATGCCCACAGCTCCCAGATCCCGGGCGGGAAGCTCTGCAGCCCAGCAGTCTCGTCTCAAGGAATCCCTGCACGCCCGAGTGCCAAGACCCAGAATCCCAGCCAGACAAGGGGTGGGCAGAGCCCCAGGACCCTGGCCCCACAGCATTGGAAGAGTCTGGAATCTGGCCTTCAGAATTCCTGGGCTCCTGGATCCCTCCACATTTCGGGTTCTAACTGCAAGAGTGCTGTGTCAGAGAAATTCCGCAATCCTGGCTCTGTCCCTTTCAGCATCCTTCCTCCCCCCACCCCCCACCCCCCAGCTCATCCTTGGCTCTCTCCCGGTCCCCCTTCTCCCCCGGGGCTCCCACAGACATGATGCAACCAGGCCGGAGCCAGCTGAGAGGTGGGGGGCAGGAGGGAGATGTAATTACAGCCTCTCCTGCCTCCATTCTACAGGAAGCTCAGAGTTGGGGCCCAGGGGACCCTAATCCAATGTGAATAATGGAGCATTTGCCAGAAGGTCCCCCTGGGAGGAGAGCACACTGAGCCACCACCAGCCAGATCCAGGGTCCAGCCTCCACCTGCCAGAGCTAAGGAGCACCAGACTCAGCCTGAGAGGGGCGGGGCTTGCCTACCCAAACCCTCAGGCCAATAAGGTGAATTAATTGACAAACCCAGGCTCCCCCAGGGCCTTGTCCTCCAGTTTCAGTGAAAAACCAACATTCACTTTCCATCTCACTCAAAGAAGCCCAGCAGAGCCTTCATGAAGAATGTTCCTCGGCTTCCTTAGCTGGGGGACAGTGGGGCATGGTGGGGACTTTGGTGGGAAAGCCCAAACCCTTTCCATAGCCTGTGAGTCAGCAGACCTCACAATTCCATAGAAGCCGGAAATGCAGATGTTTATGAGAAATCTCTCTATTTTCCAATTTGGCAACCAAGTCAAGAATGTAATTAAACCTCACATAGGGTAAGAGGAGAGAGAGGGGAAAAGTAAACTGCAAGCTATGTATGTCCTGAGGGCCTCCAGTGTGTGTAGTGGGAACCAGGGCCACTGCAAGTCACGCCTCTCCTCAGAATTTAATCTGTTTCCCACAGTTTGGGGGACTGGGGTCAGGGCCCTGCGCCTTAGGCAAGTGCTCAGCCACTCAACTCCCCCAGCTCTGAGGCAGGATTGCTGAGTGAAGAACGCACTCCTTACTTGTCCCCTCCCCTTTCCTCTAGACTCACTGCTCTCTGTGCAGGTCCCAAGTTTTATTTCCACCATGGCCCAGGCCAAGTGTCTCCTCCTCCAGGAAGCCCTTCCTGACCTTCAAGTTCAGCGAGGTGCTACTTCTGAGTTCCTAAATCTCAGCCCCACCCAATCTGCACACCGTCTGGGGCAGGTCTGTCTCTTCCACGGGACTGAGCTACAGAAGAGCAGGACCAGGGCTGTCTCAATTACAGCCACATCTTCAATATCACCAAGCACAGACGGGGCTGGTCACAGAACAGGTAAGCAGGTGACAGGGAGCCAAATATGGGGAAAAGGGGGGGAGGTGGAGTGATTCCTGGGATGAGCCCCAGGCTCCTAGGAGCAAGGCCAATGGAGTGGCACCAGGAGCCCGTAGCCCACAGTCGTCCTGGCCCCATTATCTCCAAGCCCGGCGACTGTGAGTAAGGGACTTCCTTAGGCTCAGTTTTCTCATTTGGAAAATGGGTATTATGCAAGTAGTCAGCTGCTCTGTGGGGCTGTTAGGACAATGAAATAAGTGCACGATCGTTTGGGGGATCCGTGGAAGGAAGAGCACGAGGTGCTCCTTTTCTCCGAGGCGTGGTGGGGTTGTCCTCACTCAACATCCACTCAGCCCCCACTCTTCTCCCATTCAGAAGGAATAAGAAGGGACGCAGGTCCCCAGGGCCGCGCCAACCTCAGCGCGTGTCTCGGGTTCCTCGAAAGCACAGGCAACACCACGGTCACCAAGTTTATTGGATTCATACTTGGGCGAGGGGAGGGTAAACTCTCGGGAGAACTTAGAGCAGGACGCAAAAGAGGCGCTTGTCGCGGAAGGGATTTTCGGCGGCGGGTACAGGTGTCACCAGCGGGTCATCTTTGGCGTGCGTCTCACAGAAAGCCAGGAGCTCAGCCGCCGCCTGCGACACCTGCAGGTGCCCAGGCAGAGTTGTTGCCGCCCCGCCCTCGCGACTCCGCCCCTCGGAGCCCCACAAACCCCGCCCCTCCAACAAGGCCCCGCCCCTTGGCCAAGCCCCACCCTCTAGTTCCGCCTCTTTCCTAAGGGGATCCTCCCACTGTGCCTCTGGGCCCCGCCCCCAACATGGCCCGAGCGGACCCCAGCCCCAGAGCCCCCGCCCGACCCGGCACCTTCATGCGGTCGATGTTCACCTCCAGCTTCAGCTGTTCCACCGTCTTGCGGGCCTCAGCGATCTTGGCCATGTTGTTGGACATGGCTGCAGCAGGGAACGGGTTAAATGCCAGGGAGGAGTGGGGTGCGGCTGGGAGACCACTGGGTTCCCAGGTGAGGGGTGATGGGGGAGGGACCCAGTAACAGGGGTGTGGGTAAAAGGGCGCGCGAACAGGGTGCCAGAGCCAGGTAGAGGAAGGGATGGTGGCCTGGAGGAGAGGGACCAGAGGAGGATGGAGGGATGCACAGATAGGGGTATCTAGAGGCCGGCGGGAAGAAAGGGGGTGAAGCAAGGAAGAGGGAGAGACGCACAGATGGGAGGCTGGGAGGCAGGTGGAGGGAGGGCCAGAAGGACAGGGACACAGGTGCTGGATCAGGATCTAGGGATCCAGGTGTCCTTACCCCCCGGGGATAGAGCATGAGCCTGGGAGGGGGGGGCTCCCCAGGCCAATTAGTGATGGCTCCAGGGAGAACTGCGAATTAAGATCACGGCGGGAGGGGCGCAGAGGGGGCCTCATTAGGGCTTTGGCAGCAGCTGCCCCCTTTGCCACCCTCAGGGAGCCCCACCCCCACCCCTGGCCACCTCAAAGGCTCCTCTGCTCATTAGCAGCCAGAGGAGAGGGCTGGGGAGCCCAACCCAGCCAGACAAGAGGGAGGCAGAATGGAAGGGGATAGGGACAAATGGAGGGGCCAAGGGCAGGACAGAGGAAAGGCAGCACGGGGAAAACAAGGAGATGAGGAGAGAGAGGTGGAGAGATGGGGAGGAATGGAGAGACGAGAAGAAGGCAAACAGGGACAGGTGGAAAGAGAGAGGGGACAGAGTGACGCAAGAGAGAAAGGCACAGTGGAGACAGGGACAAAGGGCAGAGGCAGAGGGACGGAGAAGAAAAGGGACCCAGATAGAGAGAAATGAAGGGACTGGGGAGAGGTGGAGCAGGGAAAGAGTAAAGATGGGGTGGATGGAGGGACGGCAGAGAGGCGCCGTGGGGAGGCTGGGTGAGAGGTCACTCATCCATTCACTCCCAGGCAGACAGTGGCCTCGAGCCAGCTGTGGAGACCAGGACCCAGCCTCCTACCTGTTGCTGCTCAGGGCCGGGTCGGAGAGTGGAGGCAGAGGCTGAGAGGCAGGGACTGGGTCCCCGTCCCAGCCCAGTCCCGCCCCCTCCCCTGAGGCCCAGCCCCTCAGGACCCGCCCCCTCCGCATTGCCACCAACTCCACCTCCCTAGGTCTGTCTCTGAACGAGGTCTGTCCATCCCCTTCTTTGTCCCTCCTGAACTTCAGTTGCTCCTGTTTTTGTGTGGGCCCCCTCCTCTGTCTCTCTCACAAGCACACAAAAAGACAGTCCCTCCAGGTGCCCTGTGCCCTGCTGCATTTATTCTGCTGTCACACAAGCCTCTCCTATGTGTCCCACACAACCTCTCACTGTATCACACATACTCTCAGCCTGTCACGTGGGGTCACACTCACCACCTCAGTGTCACCCGATCACAGATGACCTCCTCCATAGCTCACACACTCATGCCGTGCACCTCTCTGGGTCACACAGTAATGCCACAGCCTCAAAAACCACCTGTGCTCAACACAACCTTACAAGGTCTCTTGGAATGTCCCCCACACTCTTGATCGCTCACAGTGTAGCACACTATCACCAAGGACCACTCCCAGGACTGCACAACCCAATACACTATCTAAGAGTGTCAAATGTACAATTTATCAGTGTCACACGTAATATCTCAAAATGCCACACACATACATGTGCAATTTAAACTTCTCCTGCTGGCTCATGACTCTCGGCTCAGCATCCTTCACAGACATGCAATGTCTCAGGCGACCTCCTCAACAAGCACTGGCACAGTGTGGCACAGTAATGTGCAGGAGCACAGCCACCTGTCCAGTGACACATACATCTTGTACAATCTCCAGGGGGTACATACAATCTTACACATTCCCTTCCCATAGGTGACTCACCATCTATCCTGTCGCACACACACACCATCTTTGGATGCCATACAGGTAATGCAGGGTGGCTCAGTATAGCCCACTTCCTCACAAATCTCACAGTGTTTCACACACACTGTCGTGTGCCATTCACAATCAACGACCCCACAGTCTGCGTCACGCAGGCCATCACCGTCGCATGTCATCTTGCTTGTCCTCACATAGCACTCTTCCAGCATCACACACTTGCATACACTCTCCTATGTGCAATCACGACTCTGGACCAATCTCTCAGCATCACACACGAGCTCAACGTCATAGTCACAGTTTCCCACAGCCCCTGGCCAACAATACAGTCTTAACTCACCATCTGCCGCACCCAGACCCACTCTGTGCCTGCTCACGCCAGCACTTGGGGCGTCCCTCTCATCAGTCTGCCCTTATGACACATGGCACTCTTATCCCCTGCCTCCCTCACATACAGTGTCACACACAATATCTCACTCTCATATTGGCCTTTCAGTATCACATTCAGTCCCCAAATAGTCTCTCTCTCTCACTCTCTGACCAAGTTACACACGATCTCCCATTGCCACACAATTTCCCCCACAGTACCACCAATAACCTCACTGTGTCACAGGACCCCTGACCTCCTCTCATGGTATTGAACCTACTTGTCATATATGCAGTTCCACCCAATCCCTCCTTGTCACTCATAATCTCATCTGCTACACAGTCACAGTCTCCTGGCGTCACACACCATGGCTCAGGAGTACACACTCACACGATCTTCCGGCGTCGCACAACACCTCCCGGTGACACCCGCGGACACTATAGTCTCAATGCTCTTTCCATCACACTCTTGTGGTGCTCACACTAGCTCAGCCCTGAGGGCCACACGGGGGCGCGCGAGGCCCGCGAGCCGCCCACCCACCTCGCTCCGAAGAGCCGCAGAAGGACTGAGAAACAGTTAGGGCAAGGCGTCCCCATTTGCCCTGCGGGAAATGGAACCGGGATTAGGGGACCTGAGAAAGACGTGGGAGGGAGATGGAGACCTAGGAAAGTGGAGGGAGCCACGGACCAGAGGGATAGGATGAAAAGTGGACAGAGAAGTTCAGAGGGAGGTGAGAGATGCAGGGAGAGACAGAGACACTTAGAGAGGAGAGACTTATGGACTAAGACCAAGGAAGGAAGACTGCAGAGAGAGACAGGGACAGGAGAGCGAGACAGGGACAGGAGAGACAGGGCATACAGAGACAGAGGACACGGGAGAGAAACACACAGACCGAAACGTAGAGGGACGTGGAGAGACAAGAGAGCGAGCGGGCATTAAGATAGAGGGACACCCAGAGGGCGCCCTACACGTGGGACGGCGGAGGCGGGACCTGTACCATGCTGGGGGCGTGGCCACGGGCGGAGTGGGGCGTGGCTGGAGTGTCGCTGGGGCGTGGTCTGGGTGGGCGTGTCGGGGCGGGGCTTGGACTCTTTCCCAGCCCGCGGTGGAAGAGCCCTGCTAGCCGGTTGGAGGCCGGAGCCCTGGGAAGAATTGGAGGCTGGTGGAAGGGCATTTCTCTCGCAGCCAGCCCACCCAAATTCGGTTTTTACAGCCTGGACCGAGGAGGGAGACCGGCGGGGAGGACAAACAGGCCCCTAGTAGCTTTTCGATAGCGGGTTTCGAACCCTGGCCCCCTTCCTCCTCCCCTCCGGGCGTAGCAGGACGAGATTGGGGAGGGAACCCGGCCCACATCTGGAAAGCATCAGGAGCGCCGGACGTGCCAGGGCCCGGGCCCGGGCTGCGGAAGGGGGGAGGGGAGCCAAGGCGCTTCCCCCATCAGCAGAGCGGGGTCTGCCGGCGCCGAGGAGGGGCCTGGGCGTGTGCCGAGCCCGGCGCCTCCCGCAGCTGGTTTCCATCAGCAGATCTGGGCCTGAGCAGTCCCCAAGGAGGAAGCCCAGCTTAGAGCCAGGAAAAGCAGGGTGACGACCCAGTCTCTCCACGCTGCCCCACTCCTGCGACTGAGGCCAGAGGCTGGCGGGGGGAAGCGAGGTGACCTCCATTTCTGAGCACGGACTTTAGCGTCTTTTCACCCTGCGGATAGCCTTAGTTCATGCCCTGAGCGGCACAAGATTCACCAGACATCCTTATTTGTCCCCATCTTTTGGAGGAGGAAACTGAGACCCTGAATTTGACTTCACTTCTGGCTTTAATTATTGAAGAAACCATCAATGAACGGCAACACTGAATTCTAGGATCAAGTGCCCAATCACCTGTTGATTATGTCTCCACCTGGATGTCTAGTAGGTGTCTTAAGGCATCAAAAACTGAGCCCTTGGGTGTAGCTCAGTGGTGGAGCGCTTGCCTAGCACGTGTGAGGAGGCACTGCATAAAAATAGATGTAATAAAGGCATTCTACTGATCTACAAATCCATAGATTTGTAGATTCCTCCTACCAGACTCTCTGCTATCTCGGGCTTAACCATATCGGTGGATGATAAATCTTTGGGGTCACCCTTGACTCCCTTCTCTCACATTCCACGACTGATTTTGCAGCAAATCTAGGCCATCTCAAAGTATCTCCAGAATCCAGTCACTTGCCTCCTCTCGGCCCAGCCACCATACCCTTCCACTTGGACTCTTACAGTGGCCTCCTCCTTAGGTTGCTGGCTTCTATCTCTGCGGCTCTTAGTCTGTTTCCTCCAGCACAGCCAGGAGGATGCTATGGCCTTCTATAAGTGACAGCAAGTGTTAGACAGTACTTGGGGAAATCTGAACCTCACACTCTGGCAGGAAAGTAAAATGGTGCAGTCACTCTAGAAGAGCCTGGCGGTTCCTCAAAAGGTTAAACCTAGAGTTGCCAGCGACTCCACAGCTAGGTATGGATCCAAGAGAAAGGAAAATATGTCCACACAAAATACACATGCAAATGTTCATTGCAGCATTATTCATAGCCCCAAAAAACTCAAGTTGTCCATTAGCTAAAGAATGGACAAACTAACTGTGGTACGTCCACTCAATGGAAGATCATTTGGCGATTTAAAAAAAAAAGAAGTACTAATAGATACATGCTGATACCTGGCTGAAGGTTGAACCCAACGTGCAGAATGAAAGAAGCCTGTCACAAAAGGCCACATACTGTATGATTCCAGTTATGTGCATGTCCAGAATTGGCAAATGAACACAAGGCCAGCGTGGTTGCCAGAAGCTGGGGAGACTGAGGGATGACAACTGAGGGAGCAGGTTTTTCTTTTGGGGGTGGGGGATGGAAATGCTCTAAAATCGATAGTGGTGATATTTGTATAAATCTATGAATATACTATAAACCACTGAGCCATATGATTGATATGGGTGAATTTTACGATATGTGAATTGCAGCTCAATAGAACTTTTAACACCACCATCCCCCAAAAATAAAAAATAAAATAAAAAATAAGTCTGTCTTCTCAGATTCTCCTGTGGCTTCCACCTCACTTGGAGTCCAAACCAAAACCATCTGCATGGCCCCAGGAGATCCCTACCACCTCTCTGGTCTCACCACTTCCCTCCCACTGCTCCAGCCACACTGGCCTCTGGGCTGTTTTGTCAACATGCCGGGCACAGTTTTGTCTCAGGGCCTTTGCACTGGCTGTTCCTTCTCTCTGGAATGTTCTTTCCCAAGATATCCATAAACCTTGCTGGGGGCAGATACACATGCCTGAAATTCCAGCTACTGGGGAGGCTGAGGCAGGAGGATCTCATGTTCAAGGCCAGCCTGAGCAATTTGGGTGAGACCCTGTCTCAAAAACTAAAGAGTTGGGGGGATGTAGCTTAGTGGTAGAACACCCCTGGATTCACACCCCAGTAACACACACTCACACACACACACACACACACACACACACCAAGCCTCACTCCCTACCTCCTTCAGTTCTCTGTTCAAATGTTCAATAGAGCCATTTCTGAACATTCTATGTAAATTCCCCAAATCCTACCCAGTTTCAGACCTCTGCTCAGTTCTCCCCCATTCTTTATCACCTTTAACAAATTGGAGAATTAACTTATGTCACATCCTCCCCCCCCATAGTTTCCCTCCTTGTGACCAGTTCCTTGTGTATCTTTTTAGAGATGATGCATATAACAAGTTACATAGAGCAGTGGTTAAGAACATGGACTTTGGAGATTATGCCTGAATTTATTTTTTCACAACATGAACTTTAAAATTTGCCATGTATGAGTATCAGATGTTACCTAAACCTCTCTGTGCATCAGTTTCTCTGTGTGTAAAATGAGCTACTCTCATTTGGTTGTGAGGATTAAATTAGTCAATATGTGCAGTGGTAAGAAGAGTCCAGCATGTAGTAAGTACTCAATAATTGTTATCTATTTGGGTTCTTCTAAAAACTCTGTGTGTGTGTGTGTGTGTGTGTGTGTGTGTGTGAGAGAGAGAGAGAGAGAGAGAGAGAGAGAAACTAAAATCTTCCCCATACCCCATACCCCAGTAATGAGGACTGAGAACTCAGGGGTGCCCACTGAGAAATATCCCCATCCCTTTTTAGTTTTTGAGACAGGGTCTCACTAAGTTGCTTAGGGTCTTGCTAAGTTGCTGAGGCTGGCCTCAAACTTGCACTCCTCCTGCCTCAGCCTCCTGAGTAGCTGGAATTAGAGACATGTGCCACCACACCCAGAATACACCAAAATTTTAAAAAATAAAAATCAAATAACTGTTGGGCAAGGGTATGATGGTTCACAGAAGAGGAAATACAAATGCCAATAAGCAAATAAAACTATGTGTCCCCTCAAGGACATAGGAAGACATGTTAATTAAAACAGAAAGCAGGGGCTGGGGTTGTGGCTCAGTGGTAGACCAGTTGCCTAGAACATGTGAGGCCCTGGGTTCAATCCTCAGCACCATATAAAAATAGATAAATAAATAGCATAAAGGTATTGTGCCCACCTACAATAAAAATATATATGTATATATATTTAAAAAAACAGAAAGCAGTTTTCCCTCATAAGATTGTCAAAATGAAAATAATAACATCTGGGGGCTGAGGATGTGGCTTAGTGGTGGAGAGCTTGCCCAGCATGTGTGAGGCAGTGGGTTTGAGCCTTAGCATGGCATAAAAATAAATGAATAAAATAAATATATAGTGTCCATCTAAAACTAAAAATATTTTTAAAAAATAACATCTGTTGTTTGATGAAAGAATAAATGGGCATTTCAAAAATTACTGTAGTAATGTCAGTTGAAGGGCTGGGAGCATAGTTCAATGGTAGAGCACATTCTTAGAATTCTCCATTCCCTGGGTTCAATCTCCAGCACCAAAAAGTAAAAAGAAAAAAGAAGAAGAAGAAGGAGGAGGAGGAGGAGGAGGAAGGAAGGAGGGTCAGTTGGGGTAGTGTTCATTCAGTTTTCTGTTTTGTGGTCTGAGTCGAACCCCAGGCCAGGCACATCCTGGGCAAGAGTTTCATCACTGAGCTACATCTTTGTAGAGTGTGAATGGAAGTGTGTCAGTTCAAGTGTCAATTAAGATAGGCACACTTCTGTAATCCCAGTGACTCAGGTCAATTTGCAGGAGGATCACAAGTTTGAGACCAGGCTCAGCAAAGACCCTCAGCAATTTAGCAAGAGCCTGTCTTAAAATAAAAAATAAAACTGGAATGTAGCTCAGTGGTAAAAGCAGCCCTGGGTTCAATCCCTAGTACCAGAAATAGTGACAATTAAAAGTTTTTAAATGATGATAGGTACTCTGGTTTATGCCAATAATCCCAGAGACTTGGGAGGCTGAGGCAGGAGGATCACAAGTTTGAGGCCAGCCTGGGCAAAATCTTGTCTCAAAATAAAAATGGGAATCCCACAATGAAATTTCCATGCTAATATTAACAACACAGGAAAACTGTTACCTAAATTTAGATGAAATGGACCAATATCTAGATGAATATGACTTAACAAAACTGATACAGGAAGAAATAGAAATGCTAAAGAGTCCTATAGTTATAGGACTTTGATGGTTACCAAAGAAATTCAATCCTTAATTTAAATCCTCCCACAAGGAAATTTCCAGGCTGAGGTGGCTTTCCCCCCAAAAAAAGACAAAACACCACATTCAGATAGTCCAATATATGTAAATATATGTTCTATAACATTACATACATAACTATATGTATTTGCACACATCTGGTTAATATGTACAACTATAAATACACATAACAGCATGTATACATGTGTACATGACTCTAGGCATGTGTGTAACTGCACATATTCACAGCTGTTTAGATTCCTGCATGTATGCAAACACATAAAGAGCATGGAAGTATACGCAACAAATTGCTGATTATGATTATGACTTCTGAGAGGGACTGGGGCACTTGTCCCTTTCCTGTACTGTTCCCATTTTTATGAAATCATATTCATGTCCCAACCTAACTAAAACGTAATGTTCATTGAAATAAGAGTGCCAATGTTTAAGGCGGGTATGGTGGTGCATGCCTGTAATCCCAGGGGGCAGGGACTGAGGCAGGAGGATTTCGAGTTCAAAGCCAGCCTCAGCAAACTCAGCAAGGCCCTAAGCAACTTTGCAAGACCCTGTCTCTAAATAAAAATAAAAAGAGCTGGGGGTGTGGCTCAGTGGTCCAATGCCCCGAGTTCAATCCCTAGTAACCCACTCCCCCCCAAAAAAGAGCCAACGTTTAGAAGATGATGTTGAACCCCACTTGGGATCTGCCATCTAGTTCTGGACATTGCCAGACAACTGTTCAATAAATCTTAATCCAGTTGGGCATGGTGGGGCACTCCTGTAATCCCAGCAGCTTGAAAGGCTGAGGCAGGAGGATCACAAGTTCAAAGTCAGCCTCAGCAAAAAGCGAGGCTCTAAGCAACTCAGTGAGACCCTGTCTCTAAATAAAGCACAAAATAGGGATGGGATATGGCTCAGTAGTTGAGCACCCCTGAATGAAATCCCTGGTACCCACCCCCCCCAAAAAAAACAGTCCAAAGGAAAAGCAGCATTTCTCCTATTTAGACAAAGAAAGAGTCCACCAAGTATGTAACATTGTGCATTTATTTACAAAGAGGTTAGAGAAACACACAGAATCTGGCCCCCCTGTGCACGGGGGAGTCACCATCGTCATAATAAATACACTAATTTTTTAAAAAAGAAAAAAAAAGCTGGAACAGCTGAGGGTCACCCAGCTTCCCCTACTCTCCCTCACAGTGGAGGCATGAGATAGAAACCATCTTCCTTCCCCTCTTTACCTCCCAATCCTCCATAATTGTCCAGGAATAGAGGTGAAAGAGTCCTTCCCAGGTGTTGCCAACTCCTACTTGACCCTCAAAACCCCGAAGTCAGTGCTCCTTCCCTTCCCAGGGCACTCTGCAGGCACCACCTGAGCCAGACAGAGTCTCTGACCTGGGTGCCAAGGGGACAGCCTAAGGATCCAGGGACATGAAGGGGGCACTTTGTGAATGAGGGG